ACCTTGGCCATAACTTTTCAACATCTGGTGCTAGGGCTTTTATACATCACATATGTAATCCTTGTGACAAGACCTTCCTTTCGATACCAACAATTGTAATTCATTGACCTTGAAGTTTGACCTACTTTTTGAAAAACTTTAACCTTGGTCATAACTTTTGAAAGATTGGTGCTTCGGCTTTCATATTTCACCTGTATATTTCTTGTGAGAAGGTCTTTTCTTGGGCACTATTAATTTTGACCATTTGACCTTGACCTTGATGTTTGACTTCCTTTTGTAAACTTTGCTATAAGTTGTCATACGGGGGCATCAGTGTTTCACAAACACATCTTGTTTTTTGGTTTTTTTTTTTTTTTTTTTTTTTTTTGCTTGTGTACAGTTTGTTTGTTTAACCTGTTTATACTCTCAATTTATCCACACCTAACGGTCAGGCACGTAGTTTTAATACTGATTCGAATTGGAAAAATGTTTCATGTCGAAAAAATCTTAACCTACCCCCTACAAGTGTAAATGGTAAAGTTTTACTTGAGATTTCATTATCACGATGAAAATAATGATACTTTTCCCACGACAACTGTCACAGGTGGTGAAAAATCAAGTCTCAACCGGGACTCGAACCCACGGCCTCTGGCGTACCGTGCCAGCGTTCTAACCACTGAGCTATCGTGACCCGATATATTAACTGACTTTTACGCACCTGTAATCCCGGTGAGATAATACCCCTCTTTGTAGAAATTCGTCCTCGATTTCTAGGAGTTAAGGAAATGCTGTAAGGCATGGTCCTAGGGAAAAGTGGGTATTTGTACATTGGGCGCCAAATGTCATAGGTAGTGAAAAATCAAGTCTCGACCGGGACTCGAACCCAGGACCTCTGGCGTACCGTGCCAGCGCTCCAATCACTGAGCTATTGAGACCCGATATATTGAATGACTTTCACGCACCTGTGATCCCGGTGACACAACTTTTTTATAGATACTTTTTTTAATTTTTGTCATATTGAAAATATACATTTAATCAATTATCAATAGACTGAATGTAGAACTACAATATGTGATACAGGAACTATAAATATTTCATGTAATCAAAGTTCTCATTGAATAGACACCCCCCCCCCCCATAAAAACAATAAAAACATGTAAAAAGTATCAACTGTACTGTCTGCTTCCTTCCCCTCGAATAACAAAATAAAATTAATATTTGTTTTCTGTTTGTCATGAACAAAAGGCCATCTACTTTCAAGGCTTAACTTAGGTTCACAATATTTAAATTGAGCTATTCTTATCATTATATTAGACCAAGATAAAGTAATTGAATACAGTATTTACACATTGATTACCGATATAAGTAAACAACAGTGAAATCTCTTCACTAACACTTGATTGTCTTTGAACAATTTTCCTGGGGTTAACATAATGTACACCTTTATATGATAAAATGTTCTCAAAGTCTAAAAAATGTTTCTTCCTAATTGGTGTTTAGAGCTTCCTTAAAACACACGCTTGCGTAGGTTGTCGTCACAAAGGTATCGATTACTTAGACAAAGTATTAAGGGATCCACAGGGGGTGGGGGTATTCGGACCCCACCCCAACAGACCAACACCCACCATTGTATAAAATTCATATAGTAAAATACCAAAAAAAAAAAATATGAAGGGGGAAGGGTTAAGAAAACTTTGTAGAATTTGTAAGATATGTAGGAATGTAAAGTGACATCCCCCTTTCAAAACAGGTTTTTCAGGTTTGGGTTAGTTAATTTTTTTTGAATAAGGTTAAATTCTCCTTTGGGTCGATCTTTTTTTTTTTTTTTTTTTTTTTTTTTTTTTTTTTTTTTTGAGTTGGTATGGAACACCTCACTCCCTTTTCTGGGAAAAATTACAGGAAAATTCCTCAATTGCGCTGTTACATTTTTCCGCGAGTCGACATTGCTTTTCCGCGAAAAATCCTTCTTTACCGTGAAGCACTGGTATTTTCTTTTCTTTTCCGCGAAATCCTCTATATATGAACCAGGTAGTATACCTTTTGCTCCTTGTCTACCACGGGGATGAATTAATGTGAGAGTCTCTTAAACATCGTTAAAAGACTAAGTAGATTGTAGGTCATCTACGCATTAACCTATACATCTTCACAATGTCAAGGTTTTGTGAAATCCTTCCTATTTCAAAAGGTTTGAAGAGAACGATATCACAAAACCCTTGACATTGTGAAAATGTGTAGGTTAACACGTATAAAACATCGTTAAAACATGTTGTCTGTTCAATAACCCGTAGATCCTAATATATTCATGTCGGAACAAGCTGCGTTTTTTTTTTTTAATTTTGTTTTTATTTTGTTTTTGTTGTTGTTGTTGTTGTTTTGTTTTTGTTTTTTGGTTGTTTTTTTTTTGAGAAAAAAAATGATTTTAATAGCTGATAACTTCGATGTTGGAATGTTTCCCAAACTGCTGAAAGAAAAGAATAAACGAAGGTTTGCATGCATTCCTTTTTTTCAAGGATGGGCTCTGCCTCTGGACAGCGCAAATAAAATATAATAAAGCAATGTCAAGTACCTGCGGAAAAGTAAACTGTGGTTGTTGTTGTTTGTTTGTTTGTTTATTTGTTTTGAAAATATAATGCAGATAAGCAGGAAGACCAAAATCTTGCGAGCCATACTGACATAGTATTACACATAAAATCATTTTCTATAAACACCTGCAATCAAAATCCAAGAAAAATTTCTAACGTCTTTAAGTCTTTTTTAAAACATTGCTGTGTCATCATGCCTTTGTTCTTGCAGTCTAAAAATTTACCTGTAGCCGTCCGATAATAATAATTAATAGTCCAATAATATATCATCGGACGGCAGTGATAACAAAATCGAACAGTAGTTAAAAAACAACTACTAGAATGAAATCAAGGTTTAATATACATGTCCAGAAACCAAAAAAAAGTTAGGGAGAAAAAGTTCAGGGAAAGCGAACGCGAGGAAATTAAGTTGTTGAAAATAGCAAATCTAAGAAAAAGAAACTGCAGTTTTAACCTTCCTCAAAAGTAACACTTTCCATTTTTTTGCAAAGCGTTTTTGATACAGCACTGTGAATAAACCAATTTAAATCCATTTCTGATAAAGAACCAGTCTGCGAATCTAGTCATTTAACGAGGTTTGTTTGCCAATGACCGCACTTTTAAAACCCAAGATTTTCATTATATCGTCCAATCGAAATTTTAGACAAAAATCCGCATTATTACTTTAAATGCATTTTGAAGATATCATCCAACACTGTATCGGTATCAATGTCAAACGCACTTAATAAAAAAAAAAAATATTCCGAATCATAAAAAAAAATCCTTCATCATCTGACCACTGTCCATAGTTTCTGCTAAGCCAAACGACTGCCATTGAATGAATGAATGAATGAAACAAGAGTTCACTCACTGGTTTTACTGTCTAAAGAAAAAAAACTTTCTCTTTTCTTTTGTCTACATATTAGATGGTTTCAGGTAGAAAAGTATTGATGCCTGAACTCCTATTGTGTAATTATCGGACTCCTCTAGGTAACTTTTGGACATTAAATAGCAATGTTTTAAGTAAGATATATGCCTCATACAACTCTATATGTAAAATTATCAGACTGTTTTCGGCCCGCCTAATGGGCCTCAAACAGTCTGATAATTTTACATATAGAACAGTATTCGGCATATATCCATTACTTACAAAGCTTTGCAATTACGATTCGTCAAGTTAACAAATTTAACAAAGCCAATAACTTTGCTTGTGCCAATGCGAGGCGCGGAAAGTGAGAAATCCGCTAAGAATGTACTGTACATGTACACCCCTTTTTTCCCTTATGGTTCAAAAATTTTCAAAGCCAACCACACCAATTGATTTAAAGATTTGTCTTTAATGATGAAAAATAATTTAGAAAGCATCATATCCTATCACATGTATACCAATACATCGAAATGTACGTTTATGAAATTAACGTACATTTAAGAAATGCATTTAATTTTTGAAGATTCATGAGGACATGAACTACGACGCTTCACGCCGGCAAATTTCATGAAGCGCGCTAGCGCTTCATGGTAAATATGCCGGCGTGAAGCGTTGTAGTTCATGTATCTCATGAATTTTCAAAAATTAAATTCATTTCTTATATTTACATTATTTTCTGATGAGTCACCACAAATATCACGCCATTCATCTATCATTTTTAAAGGAAAACGTTTGCACTATAGTTTTGACGTCAAGTACGGTATTATGACGTAACAATGGAGATATTCATGCTCATCCATGGTCGTTCATGAGAAAATGAACAGTCTTCTAATTTGCAAAGAATCTTAAGGAACAATATTTGGAAATGTAAATATTTAAGAAATGAATTTAATTTTTGAAGATTCATGAGGACATGAACTACGACGCTTCACGCCGGCATATTTCATGAAGCGCGTTAGCGCTTCATGATAAATATGCCGGCGTGAAGCGTTGTAGTTCATGTACCTCATGAATCTTCAAAAACTAAATTCATTTCTTATATTTACATTATTTTTCTGATGAGTTTCCACAAGTTACGCGATTCAAATGTCATTTTTGAAGCAAAACAGTTTGCACTATAGTTTTGACGTCGAAAACGATATCATGACGTCACAATGAAGATATTCTTGCTCATCTCATGGTAGTTCATGAGAAAATGAACAATCATCTAATTTGCAAAGAATCTTAAGGAAAAATACTTGGAAATGTAAATATAATGAAATATACATGTAAGCTGGATTATTTTAAAACATGACATTAAATTCTTGTTCTTGACGTCGCATAAAGCAACGTCAAAATATCGCAACGTTATCGTAAACTATGTTACCTTTACGTTTAATATAAAACAAAAATAATGTTTTGTACATGCATATATTGATAACTTCTTGAAAATATATACTCTCTCAAAGAGTTTTGAGGAATATTATTTAATTTTATCACGGGGCCGAATTTTACACCAAACGCACCTTGTCCTTTAATTAACACTCGTAAACATGGCGGCGTCGGAACCGAAGAAGAGACGCGTAGTCGGTGTACAGTCAGAATATGGTATTTCTTCCTCTAAAGAACAGGGAAAAGATAAAAATGGTAGGCACTGGATATCTGCGATGATGACTCTTTGCACTAACAATACCCTGTGCTACATAACACTGACTCCGCTTAAAATCATAAACTGCAATGCCTCAACGTGTGTTGGTTCGTCGTTTCCAAAAGCCTTTTGCGAGACTGAGTATTTTCAAGATGGGCTTGTTTTTGGTGATATTTTTCAAAACGGCATGGATATATTAGTGGAGTATATGAAGAATAAAACTTTTCCTGAAAACAAGGGAAAATTTCTTGTGCTAAGCAAATTGCTGAAATTTATGAACGAGGGTAAGTATTATTTATGGCATACTCCATACAGTGTAAATTCTCTGGGAGTAGTTTTTCCAGGGCTACGAATAATGCCACTGCCACGGGCTCTCTAAACTTTATCCTTAAATCAGGTTGGGCACAGCCCAACAAATGGTGGGTTAACTCCGGTTTGGTGGACAATCACCCATATTAGAGTCGTATTTACTGACCATACTTTTTATAGAAACAAAGCAGAGGGGTGTCTGCACTGGCTACTGGAATTTGGGAGAATATATACCCCTGGACATTACTGTAATAAGCATTGAACCCTCTAATAAAGTTCTGTAATTCATGGTCCCAGGGTCAGGGGATCTGATGTTAGGCCAATAGGGTTGGGGATCTATTGATCACATCATGAAAATGCATAAATTCCTTAAAAATCTTCTTCTCTGCCCCTGGGTGTTTATAAAAGTCATAACTGGATTCTACAACGTACAGATACAGAAGACAAAATAATTGCTTGGTTATGATGAACAAGGATGCCTCTTCCAAAGTTGTGAAATTCATGGCCCCTAGGTTAGAGGTTCTGGTGGTGGGATGTGGCTCTGTTGATTTAATATAGTGAAAATGTGTTATTTCTTTGAGATCAAAATGCATTAATTCCTGGAAAATCTTCTCTGCTCCTGGGTATCTGGGAGGCAAACAGAGAACAAAGTTGTAATGAGTAAGGATATTTTTACCAGATTTGTGAAATTATGGATCCTTAACAGTGTTGTATTATACTCAGGTGACCATTAAGGCCCTTGGGCCTCTTGTTTCATATTATTTTCTTTTTAAATGCACTGTAAGTATGTTGTTTGAATGTTGAATAACTCATACATATATAACACTTACCATTCACTTTATTGAATAATCGGAAATAATTTAATTAATGGGATATCGATATATGAAACCATGATAAACAGAGGAATGGAAGAAATTCGGAATATGAAAAGACGATTGTTTTTATAAATAAATCAATCATGTAACACTCTAAAATGAGAGATATTTATGATCAATAGGACACTGTTGCTTTAGTTTTAAGTGTGTTACTTTTTAAAAAAATCTTCAAGTCCGTTGGACTTCTTGATTTTAATTTTTCACTGACCCGACCTCAGAATTCACTGGCCTCGGTCTTCGGACCACTGAGTTTTCGTGAAGACTGATATTGACCTACTTTCCAAGTCAGTGCTTTCTTTTTTCCCCCCAGATTAATTAATAAACAATAATGAATACAAGCAATGAAACTGTTTTGATCAATTTGTACGAAGAGTGTTGAATGGACACCATTTTCTTACAGCTGAAGTATATTGACAACTGATTCAAAAAAGCAAAAGCAGCAATAGAAAATTCTGTTTTTGTTCCTTTTCCACCCACTGTTAATTTCACATCCTTGAACGTTCAAACATTTAAAACTTGATTGTTTTCATGTCATACTGACACATCTATAGTTGAAAAGTGTAAGACCTTGCTGTTTCAAATATGATTATACACAATAAAATATGTGACAGCACTTTATCCTTGTTTTGCAGACAGAACAATTGGTGTCCATGATAATCAGGATTTGCAAAGGTTTTCTGAAGCAGAGCTCACAATACTTGTGGCAAACCATTTGTTGGGAAGACTTGCAATATCTTCATGTTATTTGGTTGACAAAAACTGTATTGGAAGAAAAGGGGATCAGTGTTTTTGTGGAGAGGATTCATGCAAGATGACAGGCGATTATGGAGACACCAGTGTGGGTAAGAGTTTTAGTACATTCGGTAGTGAAAAATGGATTAAGGAAGCTCCGAACACTGTATATTAAAGAGTTCTAATTGTTGGGTAATTTTTTGCAGTTAGGTAGAAAAATTAAGTTGGAAATGAAAATATAGTACGTCATAGTAACAAAAATGATAAAAATACGTAGTTAGTAAACATGACGATGCATTGTAATCCATCATTTTTCAGAATGATGGATTTCAGTTTCTCCCCTGACTGTACAACAGCAGATTTTTTTATTTCCTGTATATTCCTAGTCTGTTAACATTTAGATGACCTATTTTGGCCCCACCCTACCCCAGGGAGTCATGATTTGACCAAAATTGAATCTACACAATCTGAAGATGCTTGCATATATCAATATGACTGTTCATGCCTTTGCTGTTCTTGAGAAGATTTTTAAAAAATTTTCTTATCCATTGCTATATAAAAATTTGATACCCTTTTGTGGCCCCATCCTACCACGGGGGTCATGATTTGAACTAACTTGAATTTCCACTACCTGAGAATGCTTCCATATAAATATGACTATCCATGCCTTTGCTGTTCCTGAGATTTTTAAAGATTATTTTTTTCCTATATATTCCTATGTAAAACTTTGATTGCCTATTGTAGCCCTACCCTACTTTCAGGGGTCATGATTGGAACAAACTTAATCTAACTATGTAATGAATGTTTCACATTTAAGTTTCAACTCATCTGGCCTGATGGTTCTTTAGAAGAAGATTTTTAAAGATTTTTTTCTATATATTCCTATGTAAAATGTTGATCGCTTATTGTGGCCCCACCCTATCCCTGGGGTCATGATCTGAGCAAACTTTACACTATGTAATGAATTTTTCACCTAAGTTTCAACTCTTCTGGTACAATGGTTCTTAAGGAGAAGATTTTTGAAGACTTTTACCTATATATTCCATTGGACATGTGGCTCAAAAACCACTTATATGTTTCAATTAGATTTTTAGGCATCACAGGGGGTTAAAGGGTTAAGGGTTAATTCATGTAAAGTAATTAAGATCTTATGCCGATCTTTTAATGGTCATTTGAAACTAATTTCAAATGAGATAATTTAAAGATTCACAAAATAAAAATTTTGGTTTGTTGGGCCTCCTTAAAATACTGCAGCATATACTTATAATTGAATCTTTACCAATAATATCTGGATCAAAATAGTATCCCTGCTGGGGATAAATGTTGGACTTATTTTTTTCAGGAAATGTAGATGTGTGGCATGGAAATTTAGATATTGTCATCAACAATGACTTGGCTGTTGAACCTGTTGAAGATAAAACTGAGAGTCCTAGTGGAAAGTCTCCTGTGGAAGTCAAGCTGAAGACTGTTCTATCTAGAAATCCACAAATCATTGCACAAACTATAGTCTTTTCCTTTCTCCAAAAAAAGACACATCCGGAAAGGGATTCATTTTTAACTCCTTGCATTGGAATTGGAAGTTCAGACCTGATAGTCATGTTCTATGATTCAGAACATGATGTTCTTCTGGAAAGTTCTAGTATACCTCTGTTCAATGATCCGTTTTCATTTGAATTTTCCTACACTGCTATTATTGTGTCTTGGCTTGTAGTGAATTATAAATTTTTATGTACTGGATTGCCTGATCATATGAAAACATACAAAAGTGATTTTTTTGTCCATGCAGGTAAAAAAATCAAGATTTATGAGGAAAAACTAGCATTTGGTAATGTTATCAGTTCTCAAACTACAGAGGGTAGACTCAAATTTTGTCCAAGAGTAAAATGTACCCCAAAAATGCATGAACATGAAAAAATACTACAGGAGGTGTTGTGGAGCTTAGAAAGTTCCTCTGGTTCAAGTGAAAGTGCCAGTAACTTAAATCCAAAATACATGTGAATTAAAAGTATGTCTGTAAAACGAATATCCTAGTTGTTTTTATTCTGACGAAAGAGTCTCAGTGAAGGCTCTGAAATTTGATATAGATGAAAAATGTATTATTTGATAATGTTATGCCTATCCTCTCTTTATGTTATTCTGATAAGTGAAAAAAAGAAACCCTGACAAAAAGTTGTTCATAGCCCATGGTGTATTGCAAGGTCAGCTGAACAGAAAAAATGACTTAATAGTATCTTCTTCTCCAGCTTAAATTTCCGGTAATAGTGTTTGTCATGTCCATCTTCCATCCTTCCGTCACACTTTGCATTTAGCTCTGTTCAAAGCTCAGTTTCAAAGAAACTGTCCAAGATATTTTTATCAAACTTCATATGCTGATAGATATTGATGAGAGCTATTCAACTGCATCAACATTTTTTGACCTTGACCATTCCTTTGACCTTGACCTCACTTATCTTAAATTAGTGTCAAACTTCATATGCTGATACATACTGATGTAAGCTATTCAACTGCATCAATATTTTTTGACCTTTCCTTTGACCTTGACCTCACTTTTCTTCAATTTGTGTTTAACTCTGTTTTAAAGAAAACATTCATAATATTTTTATCAAACTTCATATGCTAATACATACTGATGTAACCTTTTCAACTGCATCAACATTTTTTGACCTTGACCTTTCCTTTGACCTTAACTTCATTTATTTTAAATTAGTGTTTAGCTCAGTTTTAAATAAACCATTCAAAATATTTTTATCACACTTAAATATGCTGATACATATTTGTGAGAAGTATTCAACTGCATCAAAAACATTTGACCTTGAACTTTCCTGTGACCTTGACCTCACTTTTCTTAGATTTGCATTTTGCTTAATTTTAAAGAAACCATTTAAGATATATTTATGTAAGTTTATGTACTTAAACATAATTTGGTGAGAATTTATCATCTATATCCAACTTTTTAGATTTCAATTTCAATTTTAAAGGAACTTTTCAAGATATTCTCATCAAATTTCACTATTGTGGCTACACTACACTAATACAAATTTTCATGTTGCATTACTTATATACCCTCGGTGGGGCATTCATGTCCTATGGACATATTTCTAGTCTTGTATATTTATTTTTATTAAAGATGAGTATCCAAAATTTGTGAAAAATTTGTTTAGCTATAAATACTAAAACAAAAACCAAGAATTAGGTGTCACAAAAATGTAGTGATTTACAGTATATGAAAGCTTCCTGACATAGTGCAGATTCAGGTTTATTCAAATCATTTTCAATGGGGTAGGGTGATTAGTGCAGATTCAATGGTGGCAAGCTACTGACAAATAAGTTGATGCTACAGGACTTTAAACAATCTTGTTTAAAGTCAGCATTTTGCAAATTGTATGGTTGTTACAATGTCCTTGTTTGCAAATACAACCTATCATTAGGCTGTATCTTGATTGATATGTTTCACAACAATTGTTAAGCAGGGGCCATTATTGAACAAATTAATGAATCTGCACAACATGCGGATGCTTTCATATAAATATGACGTATGTGCCGGTGTTCTTGAGAAGCTTTTTTTTTCTATATTATAATCCAAAGTAAAACAATTTTAAAAAACTTGAATCTACACTCAAAAGAAAATTTACTTTTTTATACAATTTTTTACAACTGATAACTCTTTTTCCCTGATCAGTACTGAGGGCTGAGATTATTCACTGTTTGTTATCTTTGCCTTTTTTATTTATTCATTTGCCCTGCATGCAAGAATTAGGTTGGAGCCACACTTGTGGTATTGATATGCAAGAATGTAGTATGAATTTAGATTGTACATATCATGGCCTTCAGGATTGGTATGGGGGAAAGTAATGTGTGACATAGGAATCTATAAGTAAATCTTTTTAAATTGTGCAGAGAGAGCATAGTTGTTCCTTTAAGTAATATTTAATTGAAGTCATGTCAGTATTGATACACTCTCTGAATGCTCACATTTGAGAAAGTCGAAGCCAGTTTTTTTCCTAAACTGAGTCATATCACATTGATTTTAGATGTAGGTTACATTTATTTTCAGTAAAACGAGAGTTTGGGGTTACATGTAGAATGAGAGTGTATCCACCTTACACTCACAAATGCACAGATTTCTCTTTTTTTTTATCTGTCACAGATTTGTATATTATTACAAGGTATCTTTTTTTCTCCGTCAGAGCTGTTTCTTGTATGTACAAAGACATTTTGATGTTAGGTCACTGCGTAACTTCGGTGACCTGTTGCTATTTAATTTTGCCTGACTTTTTAGCTCTTCTGAGCAAAAGGCTCAAAGAGCTAATGCTATGGCCATTTGTGCGGTGTGCGTAAACATTTTAGAATATGGACCATAACTCAAGAACCCCTTGGCCAATTATTGTCAAATTTGTCACAGGGTATCCTTGGACCAAGGGCTCCCTTTTTGTACTAAAACTAGGGTTGTGACCCTTAAACAAGGGGAGATAATTAGGAAAATAGAAACAAAAGTACTGGTTGCTAAAAAATCTTCTTCTCAAGAACCACCAGGCAGATTATCACCAAACTTACAGAAAAGGATGAGGATATGTTGTAGATTAAAATTTGCACGGGGATTTACCCTGGGGCAAAGGGCGTGGTCTCAAGGTCACTTCAAAGTTGACCAAAAATTACATTTTATTAAAATGTTGATATTTTGCTTACTATAAGGACTAGGATCATCAAATCTTGTCAGTTGATACATCTAAGGACCTCATATTGTTGACTCAAAAGTAGGTCATGGTGACCTACTTTTTAAATTTTGCGGCCATTCTTTTTCAAAATAATTTTGAGGCATATTTTGAACAATTTAAGGCCTATGATCATCAAACTTTGTCAGTTGATGTATCTTGGGTCCTCAAAGTACGTTAACTTAAAAGTAGGTCACCTTGACCTACTTTTTGAACTTTATTATGGCTAATCTTTTTCAAAACAATTAAGGTCATTAATTCGAATACCGAGAGGTTTAGAATCATTAAATCTTGTAAGATGATGCATCTTGGGGCCATAAAACATATTCATTAAAAAGTAGGTCACAGTGACCTACTTTTTGAACTTTGCAGGCATTTGATTTCAAAGCGTTTTAGAGGCATGATTTGGACATTTTAAGGCCTATGATCATAAAACTTTGTAAGTTGATGCATCTTGGGTCCTCAAAAAAGGTCAACTGAAAAGTAGGTCACCGTGACCTACTTTTCATTCTATATGACTATAATTAAATATTTCAGGTACTAATTGGCTTAGAGTCATCAAACTTTGTCAGTTGATGCATCTTGGGTCTTCGGAGTAGGTCGACTGAAAAGTAGGTCACGGTGACCTACTTTTGAAAATTTATTGCTTTAATTAAATATTTCGGGTACTAATTGGCTTAGAATCATCAAACTTTGTCAGTTGATGCATCTTGGGTCCTTGGAGTATGACAACTGAAAAGTAGGTCACGGTGACCTACTTTTGAAAATTTATGGCTTTAATTAATTATTTCAAGAAATTTTATGGCTGTATTTAATATTTTCGGGTACTAATTGGCTTAGAATTGTCAAACTTTGTCAGTCGATGTATCTTGGGTCCTCGGAGTACAACAACTGAAAAGTAGGTCACCGTGACCTACTTTTGAAAATTTATGGCTTTAATTAATTATTTCAAGAACTAATTGGCTTAGAATCATCAAACTTTGTCAGTTGATGCATCTTGGGTCCTTGGAGTACAACAACTGAAAAGTAGGTCACTTTGACCTACTTATAAAATTTTATGGTTATAATTTTAAAAAATATTTTAGGTATTAATTGGCTTAGAATCATCAAACTTAGTAGATGGGTCCTCAGAGAATGACAAGTGATAAGTAGGTCACCATGACCAACTCTCGGGTACTGATTGGCTTAGAATCATCTTGGGTTCTCAGAGTGTGAATTGGAATTTCAAGGGTTTATCTAAATATATACAGAATACTTAGAGGCTTCAAATAGAAGTGATAGGTTGTACAGTTTATCAGAAGAGCGATTCAAGGCCCTTGGGCCTCTTGTTTTTCTGCTTCCCATGTGTCACAAGACAGCTTGAAAGTTTAACATGGAAATGTCCAAGGAAAACCCGTCAAAAGTTTTTTAGCTCACCTGAGCCGAAGGCTCAAGTGAGCTTTTCTGATTGAAATTTGTCCATTGTCTATGGTAACGTTGTCATTGTTGTTGTCGTAAGCTTTTTACATTTCATCTTCTTCTCCAGAACCACTGGGCCAATTTCAACCAAACTTGCCATAAAGTATCCTTGGGTAGAGGGGATTCAAGTTTGTTCAAATGAAGGGCCACGCCCTCTTCAAAGGGGAGATAATTAAGAATTAGTGAAAATTTAATGGCATCTTTTAAAAATCTTCTTCTCAAGAACCACTGGGCCAGAAAATATAAAACGTTTGTGGAAGCATCCTCAGGTTGTGTAGATTCAAGTTTGTTTACATGACCCACTGGGGGTAGGGTGGGGCCACAATAGGCAATCAAAGTTTAACATAGGAATATATAGGAACAAATCTTTAAAAATCTTCTTCTCTAGAACCACTTGAGCAGAATTAAGAGTTGAAACTTACATGAAAGCTTCATTACCTAGTGTAGATTCAATTTTGTTCAAATCATGACCCCCCTGGGGTAGGGTGGGGCCACAATGGGCAATCAAAGTTTTACATACTAGGAATATATAGGAAAAAAATCTTTAAAAATCCTCTTCTCAAGAACCACTGAACCAGAAGAGTAGAAACTTATGTGAGAGCTTCATTATATAGTACAGATTCAAGTTTGTTCAAATCATGACCCAGGGGTGTACAGATCAAGTTTGCATTTTGTTCTGCTTCAATGATTTTTGACGGAATTCCGACCTTTTCAATTTTTCAGGGTTTTCCGCAATTTTTTCCTAAATGCTTGCAGATATTGAGCTGATTTTTGGCATGTGTCTTTACCTTGATGAGTTATAGATCAAGTATGCATTTCGTTCCGCTTCATTGATTTTTGACGGAATTATGGCATTTTCAATTTTTAACAGGAACCAGATTACACTTGCTGGTAGGGGACTAGTATTGCTAATGCAATACTCTCAGAATGCTTGTTTTAAAGATGGCCCTAGCCTCTCATTTTCTGCGTTAGTAGAATTCTCTGAATGCAAACAAGAATTCCCTAGAGTTGAATGCTTCAATGCTTTATTATTTGAAATATGTTCAATTCATATATGTATAAACAACCAAATCTGTTCAGAACAGATGATAATTGATAATCTATAGTACTTAATCACAAAGTACTAAATACCAATACAAATATATTATAGCTAAAAATTTCTTTTTAGATTTAAGTTTTAGATGGAAAAAGCATGATTGAATGCAATATTATCTAGCTTAATTTAGTTTTCATTTGCAAAAATACCTAATATGCTCATGTCTCACATTCACACATAAAACATAAGTCTGTGCGTAAAATTTTTTATCATTCACAAAGGATTTGTAGATGGAAATCTCCCTCTACCTAAGTGGTTTAGATTACAAAATAAATAATTTTCATTCACACAGAAATTATTCCTTTTTTTGTCATCTTCTTACATAGTACAACATAGAAAAATTAGTTTTTCCAACATCAGTTTAGCCATGATCATTTCAATATCAGTTTAAAAGTGATTATTCTAATATCAGTTTAACAGTCATTATGCCAATATCAGTTTAACAGAAAAAAATCTGTTTCAATATGTGAAACTTATTTTCAGTAATTACTAATCTTAAAAAAAAAACCCACCCAATTAATTCATTGATTATTTTCAAATAAAAAGCACTAGAAATGGTTTGGTTTAAAAAAAAATGTGTACACAAATACAACATTCTACGTTATGTATGTTTGTAGTATGGAATATTCGAGGGTGCTTTTTCATGAAAGCTCATCAATAAGAAAGTTATAAAACATATACCTCATTAACCCAAGCTGCCTTTTAGCTGCATTAATAATTAACTTATCCTGACATCGTGACAAATCATACATAACAACTGGTTGTAAAAATATTATAATTCTACCATGAATATGACTTTTTATATGAGACTACATGACATGTACAGTCAAAAGAAATCTTAGCACTGATATTATTGGCACAATTCTCTTTACAAAGGTGATAAGGGCAGAAATCAGATATCATTACTATAACAGATACAATAAAAAAAATATGAAAACTGTACTTTTTTTTAGCAGAAAACAACTCGCTCTCCTTTTTCCTTCATTTCTGACATCTTTTATAGGATTTTTTTTATAGCTTTAAGTAATATACATCAGCAGGTACACTGTATCTATTGCATGATTTGAATTTGTGACATTTGGTATAAGAAGTCTGCCATTTTTCAACACCTGATATCCCAGAATTCAACAGTTATACAGGGTTTATTTTAGTTCATCTGTCCTCAATAGACTCCAGTTGGTCATGGTACTCGGTAAAAAGTCTTTGGAGTTTTAGATTAGAACCAATGCTTGGTAACATCTCCTGAAGTAGACTTCTTTTATCCATTCCCTAATGAACAAAATGGATAGAAGTTTCTTTCATTTGGATGTTAATTACTTTTCTTATATTCTTTTGTTTGCATGTTGTTGGATGTACAAGACACAAATTTTTAAGAGATCCAAAATAAGAGATTCTATAAATACATGTAGAATTATTTTTCAATATGTACATGTACTTTTAATGTGTACATGTATGTCTCTGTACTGTTACATTTTTTTCTTCAAGATTGTACTTTCAGTACCTAAACAGAGCTTATGAAACAAATTGTCCCCACCCAAGCACCTGCAAATTCAACCTCTGATCTTAAAGCATGACATTAAACAGAATGAAACATTGAGTAATTAAACTTCTACTTAAAACAGAATAACAGCTGACAAAGGTTAACATCAGAAACAAAAAGCTATGTGACCCCATCTTTGATTTCATTAATAGAAGTCTGTATTTACCAAAATGAGGGGATCCCAGGAAGACTTTCCCTTCGTCTTATACGCTGGTCCTAAAAGGTCGTCACAGACATCTCGAAGTTTGGACTCAAAGATGTGCCTGGATTCTGACTCGAGTCCTAAGTACAGAAAACAGCATTAACAGAGTAAGACACACTTAACAAACATAGGAGAACATCTATTGGTAAACAGGTTATTGGCTCCTGGTTATCTTTGTAAATAAAATAGTGCATCTACTAAATGAATTGACATGTGTACATACACTCTGTAAATGAGTAGTTTATATAAAATACACTGTACATATATAACTACAGGTACAAATACATGTAAGGGGAATCATCACTACAGGGAGAACAGGACACAAATCACATCCCTATACAGATGACAAAAATCATATCTCTTTACAAACTATTATCCAAGAAAATCTTGCTGAAGCTCCTCATTTTCTGGAAACTAAATCAAATGGATATTAATACTGTATGATCTGAGTCTATTTATAAAACGTAATGATTTATGAATCAATGTTGAATTATTAATGCGGTGCAAACCTTCCTGAGAGAGGTATCTTGTGTACGTCTGCAGCCAGAACTTGTACTCAGGAGCTGACTTAAGCAGAAGACATGCTGCCAGCTGAGATTCAATATGACTGAGGGTGGAGCTCTGCTGCAGTGATTGTCCAGCGCTGAAGATACGACTGGCCTGCATACCCAGTCTGAAATACACAATTTATCATACAATTAAACAGAATAAAAATGAAATTATAAATTGGTCACTGAGTCCAGGCAGTTCAAATATAAATCCTTGAACATGGATTTAAAATTCTACATCTGCATCATTCATCAGAAAAAAAATTATAAAGTTTTCAAGTTAGGGCTTGTGCAAGGGGAATCTTAGACTTGGATAGGTTTACCTTTCATGAGAAGTCTGTAATGAGGCCAGTGGTCCCTGAATTTTGGTGGAGTCTCTAGGTGGTGCACAGCTGTGGTGGTCTGAACACTGCTGGAGAGAGTCTGCTTTGTTATGGAGGAGCATCCTATCATCAAAGTACAACATACAAATATCAAACAAATTCTAAACAGACAAGACTTTCTGTATCATACTAAAAATACTGCCCAGAAAAAAGAGCAATAATTATTTTTTATCATTTTTTTTGAGACAAAGAAAAAACATAATAAACAAACACACCTGTAAATAAACAAGAGGCCCAAGGAAGGGAGTATAAAACAACAATCCATAGAAGATCCATGAAGTATATAATAAACTGATAGAAGAAGCTTTTGTAAATCTTTGATCGTCCATTGTGACCCCACCTATCCCCAGAGTCATGATTTGATCAAACTTGAATCTATACTACCTAGGGATGTTTCCATGTAAATATAACCAATCATGGCTTTGCTGTTCTTGAGAAAAGAATTTTTTCAAGATTTTTCCTACATATTCCAATGTAAAACTTTCATAGTCTATTGTGACCCACCCTACCCCTGGGGATCATGATTTGATCTAACTTGAATCTACACTACCTGAGGTTGCTTCAATATAAATATGACTAATCATGGCTTTGCTGTTCTTGAGAAGAAGATTTTTCCTAAATATTTCTATGTAAAATTTGATCCTCCATTGTGGCCCCACCCTACCCCCGGGGGTCATGATTTGATCCAACTTGAATCTACACTACCTGAGGTTGCTTCCATATAAATAGGACCAATCAGGGCTTAGCTGTTCCTGAGAAGACTTTTTAAGATTTTTTCCTATACATTTTTGTGTAAAACTGTTCGTCCATTGTGGCCCCACCCTACCCCCGGAGGTCATGATTTGAACAAACTTGAATCTACACTACCTGAGGATGCTTCCACATAAGTTTCATCTTTCTTGGCCAGTGGTTCTGGAGAAGAAGATTTTTAAAGATTTTTTCAATGTATTTCTTTGTAAAATTTTGATCTTCCATTGTGGCTCCACCCTACCCCTGGGGTTATGATTTTAACAAAATTGAGTCTACACTACCTGAGGATGTTTCCAAATAAGTTTCATCTTACCTGGTCCAGTGGTTCTTGAGAAGAAGATTTTTAAAAGATACCATTAATTTTTCACTAATTCTTAATTATCTCCCCTTGAAAGAAGGCACTGGCCCTTCATTTGAACAAACTTGAATCATCTTTACCCAAGGATACTTTTTGGCAAGTTTGGTGGAAATTGGCCTAGTGGTTCTTCAGATGAAGTCGAAAATGTAAAAGTTTACACACGACGAACACCCACACGATGACGGACTAGAACAGATAGCAATAGGTCACCTGAGTGACTCAGGTGACCTAAAATCAGAAGACAAAATTATAATTTGCAATGGATAGAATTTCAAGAATAAAAAATAAATAAAACACAGAAGATAATATTATAATTTGCAAAGGATAGAATTTTAAGAATGAAATGCATCAATGGCATAATGTATGCAGGAACTGGACTGGTCGGATATTAGAGACCCATCTGTATAGTACAGCACCTGAATGATGTACAAAAATCATTCCTAGGTGTACACTATGTGTTGAGGGTGACAAATAATTTGACATTACAAGAAATATTCTCATAATTACCATGTGCCCATATCTTTTGAGAAGGTGTAGGATTTTTTGTTGTGAACTGTTATAATTGGCATCCCCTCCTCTGTTAACATTGACTTCTGAAGGTCATCACTCCCTGGGATGTAAAAAAAAAGTTTTAAGCATCAATTTTTCTGCAAAAATTATTAAAATAAAAAAAAGTATAATTACGTTTAAGAAATATTATTTGGTATGCAGTTAGAACTACACTATACCTGATATGATTGTTTTTAATGACTCTTTCCTGATTACCACAGACTGCTGCTGAACATTCCTAAATCAAAAGCATCAAAATAAAGGTCAGGTTATTGTTACCTTGTAATTGAAGTTTCAAAGCCTACATTTTAGGATCACAAATCCTTTGATGTAATTTTACAGATTTATACACACAGTACATATGAGTTTTTACCACCTAATCAAGTGAAGCATCAACCTTTTACTCAAGCTTTAATCCAATAACAAACTTCAGAACAGACAAAACATGACTTGTAGCACTTACATTGAATTCACTCAAAAAAAAATCTAATTCTTAAATTACCAAATGTACAGGAATGCTTTCTGTGTGATCACCATAACAAAGAAGCCCTTGATATGGAGTTTAGAGACTTTGGAATCTAGGACAATGCTGGGGAGGATCCGAGATCCTGTACTGGAGTACATATGTAGGGACCCGTCCTCGCAGGATGCACAAACAACAGTTCTGAAAGATCAGCAAGTTGTATACATTTCATACTAATCTTTTCAACTTTCTTAATTTTAATTAAATTCTGTTCATTTCTATATTTTACCCATGAAAGATATTCGTGAGAAAAAAATGTCACCTTCCATTTTGATTAAGTAAACATGAAAGTTAACAACAATTCACAATAATTTAATTCTGGTCGTAATGAGCCATTTGATTGGATAGAAAAATTAGTTTATATCGTATATCCAGTATTGCCTATGTCACAATATGACTTGCGTCAAAAACGTAACAATCCACTTTACAATTCATTTAAATTTTGTACAATCTAAGGCATATTTGTAGGAAGATTTTTTTATTTTTAAACTTAGTAATAGAAAATTAAATTATAAAGAACAAATTTAATTGCTACCAAAGTTATACTTGTATGACCTGGGTTTGAGGTTAATAAAGCATCTACAGAATCATCATCCTGCAGGTTTGATCCAGGTATTCCTCACAGTTCTTTGGAATAGACCTGCTCCAAAATCTTGGACCTTGCACATCGACAAACTTAAATGACTCTTGATTTCAGAGGGTCATCTTACTCATATATAGATAAAAAAAACTTACTTTGATCCAGTCACTGATAAAATAGGTGAGTTCAGTACTTGTTCCCAGAGAGTTAGTCCTTCCTGAACACACCTCATCTTGTGCAGGGTGTGCACTCCAATACTAATGGTGTTTTCTACCTCCACTGAAAGAGAGCTATCCCTTCCTCCAACCTTTAAAAGTCAAAAAACGTGCTTATACAAACTTGTTTTCTTAAAATTACTATTTAGTTTAGATGGTGTAAATACTACTCCACATGCACATGTTTGTGTAACTATATGTAAAATAAATACATGTAATAGACCACAACTAGGGCTGTCACTGATTAGAATTTCAGTAACAATATACGTGTATGTACATCAAATGATGCAATAACTATAATTTATCACTTAAGGAACTTAAGTACAATCAAATTCAAGAAATTTCAGGCAATTCAGCTGCAATAAATATATGTATAAGAAACTGCAATACAGACACCTTAACCATAATTGTTTGAATTTACAAATTATTATGTCTCAAGACAGTGCATCCATTGCAGAAACTTAGTCTTGCTGCAAATTTAATGCAGCAAGTGATTATATACATACATAGTTTTAATCGGTGTCAGCCCTAACTGCCACTGCAAGAAAGAGCACTATATCTGAAACTAAATGAGCCCTAACAGTATTTATGCTTGACTCACAGTTTTGGTAAAGGTTTTCTGAATAGAGGCCACTGGTAGCTCAAGCTCAGGGACAGCTGCTAGGTAATGAGCTCCTTGACTATCCAGGACTGGTGGTGCAAACTGTTACATACAAAATACATGTACGTGAAATAATCACTGTATACTGTAGCTGGGCTATCTATGAAGTCATTTTTCTTATTATTGCTATTTATTTACATATAGAAAATCTGGAGAATTTTAGCTCATAAACATTATTTGCACCTTCCTTTATACTTTAATTCTAAAAAATAAAGTCATTTACACTGTACATATGAATGAATGAACAAACCTGAACATATATATGAGAATTTACTGAACATGAAGATTCATATTCTGTTCCACTTACATTAGAAACAGGAGTAGCCAAGAGGGATCGCTCCTTGTCAACTTTACGAGGACGCCCTCGTCTCTCCTCCTTCTTTTCACCGTCATGTTTCCGTTTAACTCCAGTTGACGATTTGTGGTCTTTTACCTTGTCACTTCTGAAAACAGATGAAAAAGTTGATGTTTATAATGCTTTCATACAGGACATAAGGCCCATCAGAGATGAGAAGTCACCCAGTCTATTCAGTACAAGCCCAATAGACTTATGTAAACTAATGAGATACTTCTGACTGGTGTATCATCATACACTTGAACTTTGGAAGTCCTATTCCACTTTTCCTTCATTTATTTTACCCTCATTATTTTGAACTCTTGCATATCACATTTTTTTCTCAGTCCCATTGAGTTTGAGATAATGAGGTTTGACTGTATTTAACATCTAATGCAAATGTCCAGCACCAAAACCAGGAATACTTTTGAAGAACTTAACAGAAACTCATGTACTGAATCTACTGTATACTGTGACCATAATGCATTATGTATATAGCAAGGGGTTTTAATAGCACCAATGCTACACTAATTTCACATAAAGACTCATAAAACTTAATTCAACAAATGCTTCTACCAAATTGTCTCTAGGAAAAATTCACTGCAAATAATGACATTTTCTGATCTTTAAAAATCTATCACATCATTCTATTTTTCCTCAATATTCTGCATAACTCAGATTCATTGAATCGTTTATTCAAATGGGTTTGTAGAAATGTGGTTCTTTACATGTATATCAAGACAATGCTAGGGTTGTTCATTTTATCAAAGGAAAAATGCAGCTTAAACAAATTCAGATAAAGTAATACCAAGACACTTACTTCTCAGAGGGAGTTTTTATCTTGTCCTTGACACTTGGAGTTTTGTCCTTGACATCAGACTTCTCTGAGGATTTCTTTTCTGATGAGCTGTGTTTAATTTTTGGCTTTGACAGTGCAGTCATTGGCTGAAAAGGAACATAAATTTATATTCATCAATATGTCTGGATTTCTTCTTGATCTATGAAAGTTATATTTAGATACCATATATTATTATTTATTTTATATGGTTAATCCAACTTGTGTTGCAATGACCAAGTTTTGTGAAATCAATCAATGATTAATTAAGCTTAGAAAGTCTTGGTGCTTTCGATCACATTTGGCTTTCGAGGAGATTTCTCCATGGTTAAATTTTCAAAAGTGGAGAATCCTGATTTTGAGAATTAAATTTTGCTTTAAAATGTGCTGTTTTGATGTAATTTAAACCTTTATGATCAATTAGACTAAGATAAAGTACTGTTTCAGAAGAAATATTTCTGTACAATGGATTGTATAGTATTATACCAGAAATCAATAATGTACAGGACGACAATTTAATTTTGCTTCAATCAAAGCTTATAAATAGTTTTTCCATTGAAAATATCAACAACAGAAGTTTATAAAGGTTCTTTTTTCTGTCATTGAATTAGTTAATTACAATTTTGCGACAAATATTTCCAACATCAAAGTTGCAGCTCATATTGCTTTTATGATACAATTATGTGTGAGAATGGAATTCTCCCGAGCAGATGGTATCACTTCATTACCTGTATAGAGACGTTGA